ATTAATAAATATATATAATATCATAAAATTTAATAGAATGAAAATATTTAATCATTAAATAACATATAAGGTTATATCAAAATTTTATATAATAAAATTTTTCTGTTAATCACATTTCAAAAGAGGTATGGAGTTAGCTTAAAATCTCTTTGATACTAGAGATAATCTCATTTTCCATTTTCCATGTTCTTTCCCAGTCTCCCTGGATCAATCTTTCCCAGTCTCCCTGGATCAATCTGGAAAGTCAGGGAAGTGATACATTTTTCACACTGTGGTTTCTTTGAATTCATCTTTCCCACATTTATAGAACTTTTTATCAGTTTTTTCTGCCTTTCCTGCTTCTTTTTTTTTTCTAAAAAATAAAAATAAAAGTTTACCTATTAAGTGTATTATTTTCTGAAATATATTCTATTCTGAAATTTTGTTCTAATTTTTTTTGTATAAAAAGCTACTTTTAATTACATAATTACTTTTGGCAAAAAAAAAAAAAAAACTACATAATATTACTTATTATTTTTTTACACATTAGATAATTCAAACGTAGTATCTCTCTCTAAGTTACTTAGAATTAACAAAAGATAACTCTCTCTTCCCTTAATCCCTCTTTAGTTGTCCCTAAGATTTAAATTTAAAATATCTAAGTTACTTATTATATAACTTGTCTTCAAAAAATTTTATTTTAAAATTTTCAATTTGCATTCTATTTTGTTTAGTTGTTTAAAATAGCTTATAATTAATTGATAGTATACAACGTTGAATAATGTTTAGATTATAAATAAATAAATAAATATTAACAATTAAAATTCATTATCAAGTATTCCAGACAATTATTCGTTTGCACCACCCACCAAGATTGACCATTGAGACCTTTATGAATAAAGAATCTTGGCTTAAAGTTTAATTTCAGTACATTACTCTCAGATGCCAAAAGAGGAAATTCCATTTCAGTTTCTTTTAACCATATCCTTATTGGAGATCTTTTAACCTAACCCAACTCTGTTTGGGTACTATACTACTATGTACTGTTTTAGTTTATTTTATGAAATTTCCAAATTGTTCAAAAAAAAAAAAATGTCAGTACATGCAGCGTGGTGCCATGTTAAGTCTCCTAATAAACTTTGCTTTGTGGGTTGAATTTGCAGACAGGGAGACTCCTTTTCTGCCCAAATAACAACCGCATTGGGCCTGCTAATAACAACTTTCTCTCCTTTAATTCAACGCAGAGTTCTTTCCCCGCCCTTACATTCTTTCATGTCGTCTACATGTATTGTAATGATGATACTGTGCGTCATACCACTAGTTGTCGATGTTAGTCTCCGAGGAGGTGGTGGAGGAGTTCGTTTTCACTTCCGCTGGAGTGAAATTATGAGGACTAGTTCCATCTTAACGGGTTTATTAGTGGTAATTTCACTCATTTCGATTAGCAAATCATATATTGCCTTGGTTTCACTTTTTGTGTGGCTTTTTTTTTTTTTGCAATACACCTTTATTCACAGCTTGGTTTAGGTCTTAAACCAACCAATATTACTCATTACCATCAATAGCAATTCTGTTAATACAGTATTTGGAATGATGAAAAATTGGGTAATAAACTTGTTCTATTGATGTAAAGAGTGCATACAGCAATTCTAGTGATCAGATTAGTGCCCCATTAATTAATAGATAGATTCCATGAGTGTGAGGAATCTATTTGATTGTTAAGTTGGTGTTGTTGTTTTATTTTTTTTTCTTTTTTAATGTAATGTGATATGCATTGGATATAATTTCCTATTTATGTAATATGTGTGTGCTTTTCCTCAACGGATAACTCTATTATCTTTTATGATATTTCTACCTTTTGTCATAATAGGGCAAATCACTATTTGTATTGAACTAGCACTGTGTGCCTTTAATAAATGTTATAAATTTCCTTTTAAGTATATAAAAAAAAAGGTCTATGTTTTTTTTATTAAGGTGTAATGTAATGTAATGTGTTGAGGGATGAGACATTAAAAGTTATTCGGTTAAAAATTAATTTTTAGAAAAAATATATATTTTTTGAAAATAATTGAGAAAATACTATATAGAAAGTTAAAAATACTAGATAAAAAGTTGATAAATTTTGTAATAAAATTTTGTTGAGTTGTTAGTTTTCTTATGTTTGTTAGTATAGAAAACATTAGTAAGAAAAATGTCGAGTTAATCTCACATGATGAAAGTTTTTAATTGTACAAATTAAAATCAGCTTTAAATTTTTTTATACAAATTAATAAAAAAATACACTTAATACATCCTAAGCCTACGTATTAAAAACCCTTAATATATGGTGTTGTAAGGGTAAATCTACATGTTAAAAACCCTTTAAAAAATTGAATCTATTTAGTGCCCTAACATGTAATGTTGTAAGGGTGAGCCAACATGTTAAAAACCCTTTAAAAAAATTGAATCTATTTAGTTCCTTAGCATATAATGTTGTAAGGGTAAATCACTTTGATGGTTGAATAACTCTATTTTATTTTATTTTACTTATTTATATACAAAAAAGAGCAACAAAGATTCAGTTCACCCCCTGCCTCTTTACTTCAAGCCTGACCCATTTTCCTTCATTTTCATGTAAAATTTTCACACTATTAATTTCAAGGAAAAAAAGGTTTTGCCATCAATTTGTGACATGTAAGTTAAAATTTAACAAAAGAATAATAATAGCCAAAATTAAAAATTTTAGGGACTAAAAGTAAATGGATTTAATGTAGAGATCAAATCAGAAGTCTTTACCAAAATTGAGTGGCCAAAATAAAAGTTTAACGAAAGACAAAATCAGACACCTGTATGGAAAGTGCGCTGCCCTCAATGAATCGTGAAGTTCATAGATGGTTGAATCAATCAATGACGACGCTGGATACCAAAGAAGTGGAAGTCGCTATAAGAAGGCCCAATATGGCTACAATTTGGGCCAAAAAGAACCCACCCAGCCGGTAACCAAAATCCATAAGGAGAAGTTTATTAGCAGGCCCAATAAAATGAAACTAGGATCAAGTTGAGCACTAGATTTGAGGGGTTTTTTTTTTTTTTTTTTTTTGAGATTGTTGTATTACAAAGACCGCCATACGGCATCTACAAAGATTATAAACAATAAAATTACATCTGGAACGAAAGGATCAGAGCAGACCCATACACAGAGGTCGAAGGGAGGTGCACTTGACACTCAAACAACCACTAAGGACCCGGTGAGACCACGGCCTTTGGTCGAGCGATCCAAACGGTACACCCTTCAATCTACCCTTGGAGAAATTGCGCCAGGCTCCAGGATGCCGGGGCGGGAAACCGAGCGACGGCGGCGGCGATCACCCTGAAGCAGCAGCCGGCCACGATGGACGCCAGATCTGGAACTCCCGCGAGCGCCGCCACAGATCAGCAGAAAGAGGGGAGGGCCGCCGGATCTGTACAAACACAACCAAGAAACAGCAAAACAACCAAGCAAACCCACCCAAAAACAGAAAAAGAAACTGAAAAAAAAAAAACAAAAGCCACCAGAGGGGCCAACAAAACCGACAGGCCTTGAGGGCCATCGGAGCACGGAGCACAGGGGCTCCACCATGCTTGAGCAGCCGGGCGGCCCGACGGCTCAAGCATCAAAACGCGGAAGCCTAAGGCTTCCGATCAAAACAGAGGGTCGCCGATAAGGGAGGTCAGAAGCAGGGAGAGGAAAAGGAAAAGAAGATTTGAGGGGTTTATAGTTATAACGCTAAATCGTAACTACAAGATGAGCGAAAATAATGTCGATCTTATCTAAAATTTATTAATTGTGTAGTTAAACTTAGATGTTTTGATATTTTTAATATTAAAATATTTTAATTTTTACTTTTCTA